GCACCTCGTGAGCCTGACACAGAAGCTTGCGCAGCAGTGGCAGAACTGACTGCTATTCAATCTATAACAGTGAAAAAAGTTTTTTGTTTTTAAATCAAGCTATTGTGACACCAGATGTAATTGGTGGCACTGACTGGGGAAATCGGCACAGTATGCACTGTGAGCCTGACACAGAAGCTGGCAGCAGTGGCAGACAACTGACTGCTATTCAATCTATAACAGTGAAAAAAGTTTTTTGTTTTTAAATCCAAGCTATTGTGACACCAGATGTAATTGGTGGCACTGACTGGGGAAATGGGCACTGTGAGCCTGACACAGAAGCTGGCAGCAGTGGCAGACAACTAAGTGCATTTACATTACATAGAAAAATAAAATAAAAAAAAAGCATACCCTTATCCCTAACCTAGCTATGCTTTTCCCTATCTTATGAACAGCAGCTACACTTTCCCTCCTCTTACTAAGCATGCAGCTTGAGAATGAATCTAAAATGGATGCTGTCCAGTAGGTGGGAGGGTCTGCTAGGGAGGCTGTGCTGCTAATTGGCTGGAATGTGTCTGCTGACTGTGAGGTACAGGGTCAAAGTTTACTCAATGATGGCGAATAGGGGGCGGGTCGAACCGCGCATATGTTCGCCCGCCGTGGCGAACGCGAACATGCTATGTTCGCCAGGAACCGTTCGCCAGCGAACCGTTCGGTACATCACTAGTAATGAGTCACACAGAAGTGGAGAAGGATAATATTTGGACACAAAAATAACAACAACAAAAAACATGAGATGGAAGGAGCTAGCTCTCTGCTCTGCTCTGCTCTAACAGTGTTGCCATGCAATTCCTGGCCACAGTAATATAGAGGGTAATGAGGAGACACAAAAAGGAGGGTAGTATGTGGGTACAGAGAATAAAAAGTAGGCCGTGTGTGTATGTGTATCTGTGTCTGTGTGTGTATATATGTATATATAGATGTATATATATATGTATATATATATATATGCATGTGTGTGTGTGTGTCTGTTTGTATCTGGGTGTCTGCATGTGTATTTGTGTATCTGCATGTGTGTATGTATACAAAAAGATAAGTCCTGCGCTCATTCCGATCACTCCTGGGCGGCAACAATGACCACAGTACACATCAGCCACCATACATACAATAAAAACCAAAGAAAACGTTACCTGTGCTCTATCCTGAATCCCTATGTATATTTAAACAAATGGAGGTCATTTAGTTAGTCCAATGGCCATTGTGTCTGTTTGTGTATCAGTATACTGATCTGTTTGTCTGTGTATTTATCTGTTTGTATGTATGTGTATCTGTGTGTTTGTATGTGTATCTATATGTATCTGTGTGCCTGTATGTGTATCTGTTTGTCTGTGTGTCTGCATGTGTATATGTATGTATCTGTATGTCTGCATGTGTATCTGTGTGTCTGTTTGTGTGTCTGTATGTGTATCTGTTTATCTGCATGTCTGTCTGCATGTGTATCTGTGTATTTATCTGTTTGTATGTGTATCTGTGTGTATATATGTGTATCTGCCTGTCTGTGTATTTATCTGTGTGTCTGTATGTTTATCTGTTTGTCTGTATGTGTATCTGTGTGTCTGAATGTGTATCTGTGTGTTCTTGTGTGTCTCTGTATGAGTATCGGTTTGTCTTTATGTGTATCTGCGTGTGTATCTGTTTATATGCATGTGTGTCTGTATGTTTATTTGTATGTCTGTGTATCTCCATGTGTGTCAGCGTGTGCCTCTGTGTATCTGTAGATTTCTGCATGTATGTCAGTGCCCTTCTGTGTAACTGAATGTTTGTCATTAAGTGTGTCTGTGTATCTGCATGTGTGTCAGTGTGTGTATCTGCATGTGTGTCTGTATGTATACCTGCCATTATGTGTATCTGCATTTGTCAGTGTGTGCCTCTGTGTATCTGTATTTCATGTATGTCAGTGTATGAAACTGTGTGTTTGTATCTATGTGTCACTGTATCTGCATGTGTGTCCGTGTAGGTGTCTGCATGTGTTTTATTGTAGTTATTTAAATGTATGTCAGTGTATGCACCTGTGTATTTGTGTATCTGTATGTGTATCAGTGTGCATCTGCATGTGTCAGTGTATGCACCTTTGTGTCTGTGTATCTGTCACTCCCCCACACACTGTCACCCCCCACACACTGTCACACCCCACACACTGTCATCCCCACATACTGTCATTCCCACACACACACTGTTACAGTGGCATGTTCTGTGGGGCAAAATGACACTGGTAACAGGCAAGTTTTGTGTGTTGTTAAATTGCTACAGTGCCAAGTGCTCTGAAGCAATGTGGAAACTGACATTAATTAATGTGACACATACAATGGCTGTGGGGGCAGTGTGACACTGTGGCAAGTGATGTGGGGGAAGTGTGACCTTTTGACAAGTGTACATGGTGTCACTGTGGTATATATATTTTTAATGTAGTGTGCCACGGAATTCTGGGAAGAGCTTTTCTGTGCCTTAGGTGAGAAAAGGTTGAGGAGCACTAATATAAGTCTACAATCTATGTATATGTGTTTTTTTTTTTTAATGGGATTTTTTAAGTGTTTGTTGGGGTGGAGGGTATGATTGCATGCTAAAGAGATGGAGGGCAGGGTACAGGGGGCCAAAGCAAATGCTTGTCCAAGGTCCAATCAGTATTAAAGATGGCCCTGCACAGACCCGGTATACATCAGTGGGAGGGCTTTTATAATAATTTTCCCTGGTTGGTCTATGTCTAAATTTTATGCCAGTGGAATGATTAGATGTTCAGATTATGAATTAGACCTCCATCCATACATGACATTATTAGTACTATGAGTAAATGATACGTTGTCCTTGGACATTGCATTTTTTTTTTAAATACAGTGCTATGCTCATGGCATCACAAAATCTGTACAGTGAAAGAGTTTGCAAAAATATTCCAATCTGCATATGTTTCAATGATTTTCTTTGAGGTTTCCTGCAGGGTCATTCTTGTGACAATTTGAGAGTTTCAAAGTAATGGATACAGGTAGCGTTATTTTTGTGATAATCAGAGAAGTTCTGAGGCTTGTGTGCAAAATGACTCTGATTGCAGGACCATTATAACTCTGTTACTTAAAAGAAAGTGGACCCATTCTGTGAACACTGTGGAGGAGGATAATATTACCTCCTAACATGTTGCAGATCCTTTCATTTATTATTGCAATAAAAATTCTTAATAATCCAATTTGTGTCAGCAATGACATTTAATTTAGAATAATTTACATTCTCTTTATAATTTAACATTTTCAGCTTATAGGTAATGCTATTTTCCATCAGATAACACTGAAAATTTATACATTACGTACCATAACCACTACAGTCTATTTACATTTTTAAATGACAATGACTCTATGGGTACAGCCATTCTGGCTATTGTAAAATTGTTCACGATTCCACAAGATTCTGTAGCACAGCACCAGAATACCATCCCCTCAGCCAATGATGTCATATTTGAATGGGTAGGTGACATATTGGAGCCTCTGTCAACGTGGCATGGCTGAAACTGTAAGTGCTGGTTTGACTCAAATAAATACCACCTCCACATACAATAATAACTTGAATGCTTTAAGAGAAGGGTGAGATTTTTTTATATGACATCCCAATAGGAGGGTTGTATTTTTTCACCATAACCACTACAATAAGCTTTAAAGGTTATGGTTCTCAGAGTGTTGCTGTAATAACTGAAACAATGAGTAGGTAAAGTGCAGGGGTGTCTTTGAATGGATTCTAATAGTTTTCTTTTCAGGCCAAACTGCAATTTGGCTGAATTTGGACCGATTGGGTGATCAGCCGAATTCCCGAACTCTGAGCCCAACATGTTCAGTTCAAGTTGTCATCTACATTCCGACTTTGGCACCAAAAAACCCCCTACTTTTTAATGTAACTTTTATTTTGCAAACTTGATTCGTATATATTAATGAAGTGAATCTGAAACACTAGACTAGACTTTTATTGATTTCTTCCCATCTCTGTAAAATCTCTCCATTGGCTATTTCAAAATGAGATTCAAAGTCCTGACTGTTATCTACAAATCTCTAACACTGCATTCTTGTGTGTCTTTGCTTGTGTACAGTATTACAAGACATCATAGCACACCTAGTACATTATTTACCAGAATACATGATGAAGAGCTTGCAAATGCAAAAAGAAAAGGTGGCAAGTAATATGGTCTCACAGCACAAGGTACACAACGGGAAAAAAATTAATCGCACAGTGTGCACAAAGTGGTCAGAAGAACTCAATAGGTATGAAAGTACTAGGTAATGCAGGAGAAAGGGTAAAGAGAGAGATAAAATAGATTGCAGCTAATAACAAGCACAACATTTAAGTCAATGATGTTCAGTACACATATTCTTATGGTATATGTTCAATTATATAAACATATGGCATCTACTTGATATAATTTTACCAGATTTTCTATGTATTTATGGTCACATCAGTGTCATCTCCCTGCAACAACAAAACAATCTTACATTTAATTTATGGCTCTGAACTGACATTGTGTGTTACTACTGCCGGAGGCTTGAATGCAATGGCTGCATTACCATCACAACAGGAGGTCCAGCGCAGAAGCATTTGGTAAATGAATTTGACTTAATATAATGGCTCAGCTGTGTTTCAATAGTCACCCGTAAAAACATGAACCCCGCTTCATGCAATACTGTTACTGCGGCCTCCTATTTAATAAAATACTTCTTCATTTCATATACAAGATCACAAACTGTTTATGAGAGAGAGGAAGAATGGATAGATATTGGGTTATTTACTAAGCTGAATACAAAATGATTCATACTTAAGGCAATAGTAGAAAGTCTCACAGACTTGGAAAGTTTTTAAAGTTTGGCTATTTAAACCTATTTTAAATCACATGATCGCTAGTGATGTCCCGAACGGTTCGCCAACAGTCCGTGGCGAACGGTTTGCCGCGGACTCATCATTGAGTAAACTTTGACCCTGTACCTCACAGTCAGCAGACACATTCCACCCAATCAGCAGAAGACTCTCCCTCCCAGACCCTCCCACCTCCTGGACAGCTCACTAAGAATGCAGCTTCAAAATAGATGCTGTCCAGGAGGTGGAGGGTCTGGGAGGGAGGGTCTGCTGCTGATTGGCTGGAATGTGTCTACTGACTGTGAGGTACAGGGTCAAAGTTTACTCAATGATGAGTCCGCGGCGAACCGTTCGGGACATCACTAATGATCGCGGACACTCAAATTAAAGTATCCCAACTTTCTAATTTTAATGGTCACATGAAATGGTAGCCATCACAGCAGTGCTGATAATGACCTCAATGTAATATTTTTACAGATGTTCATTTAAATGATTTAATGTTTTTTTTTAGAAACTTTCAAAAACTAATTATCAAAAACTAAATATCAAAATGAATTTTTTTTTATATATAAACATAAATATCAATGTATCAAAAATGTAAAACAAATTCTCTAAAAATATTAAATATTAAATCGAAAATAAAATCTGCATGCAAATGTACTTTTTTTAAATGATATAGGAAAATCTTATACTGTTCTTCAATACAAAGTTTTCAAATCAGCTAAGAAGTAACAAGGATTGATCAGATGCTTTGCAATATTCTGACATCCAAAACTAACCAGACTAGACGAATAGACCAGGTGGGAAAATTCAGCTGGAGAGGGGAACACACATTTTTGCTAATGGTGAGGAAACTTAGAGTAGCTGAGACATCATAATGTTTCTGATTATCCTAAAAAAAAAAGAAGGAATTTATCATGCACGCTATGCACTTACCATGTCAAAGTATTATTATTAAAATATATAATTACATTAACCTCTTTGGGACAAAGATTATGTAAATCCATTCTTGATTACTGTGAGAAACCTGACATTCTTTGTCCTGGAGAGAATAAAATAGAATTTACTGTATTACACTATTCTACTATTCTTCTTATCTCAGTTTAAAAACCAATGATTAATCCAGTTAGTCAAACCAGATGCCTATAAAGTTTAAACCGTAGAGATGTTATACAACATGACACCATAAGTCAGCGTTTTAATTTAATCTTTCAATCTAGATTGTATAAATATTATGTCAAGTCTTCTCCCGCCACCCCTCTATTAAAACACTTTATTTATTACTACATTTATTTTAGCCTATTTCATTACTATTTTATTGTTGTTGGTTATGGGGGTTATAATCACATAACTCTCCTCATACACACATTTTCTCATTTGGGAATTGGCAGCTAAATCACACATGGCTTTTCTATCACCTCGCTTGCACGTAAATAAGGACAGGAGTAAGGGCATGTCAAGATCATTCTTTAAGCTGAAGCAATGAGCCGTAGCAACCTAGTGGGTGATATAGGCCAATTCTAATAAGAAAGAAAGGAGATGTAAAGGGTTATTCAAGAAACTTAAGAATTCAAAGTGAATTTCAAATTGTAGCCAATTTGGACAAATCCTCCAAGTCAGCTGTGCTTCCAGTTTGGCTAATTTTTCCTAAAATGTGAAATTTCAATTGATACCTGAGTCTCTTTGGTGTGTGCAGGAATTTAACCATGCTCACACCAGAACGTTAGGACGTTTTCATTTCATGCTAACAATGTTAGAGCCCAACATCGTTAAGGGATTAACTACAACAGTTACAACACAATTCAATTGTGAAATTGTGTGTGTCTTGTCTATCTATAACAATGATTGGCAGGGAGCAAGGATAGAGGCACTCATTTTCAAGATAGAGGTAAATAACAGCGTGTATTTCCACATTTAATTTAAACATTTAATTAAAAGAACATACCTCACAAACACATATTTGTTAAATCGGGAGAGAACAAAACAGAATATTACAAATCCTGGAAGTGACCGTATACAATATATCATATGCATTTAATTTATTGCAATACAACGTTCTTACTTATTAGTGTCATCCTTCATATTTTAGACTGATTAAGTGGGAGTGCACAATCCATAATTTTTTTAGAAATCCAAACACACGGTGCCTAGATGATTTTGTATTCCAATCGTGATGTTAATTTAGCCCACATTCACCTCTTATATTAATAGCCACAGCAACAGAGGATGAAGGAGGAATAATTGCATATATTTTATTTGTATTTGGCAGTAAATTTAGAGCAGAGAACTCAAGGGACTCATTGAAATTGCAAACCCTCTTTCTTATTTATTCTTCATCAATTTGACTTCTTACACCATATTTTATTCCTTACAGTTTCCCTGTTTACAGAAAATCATTTAAAGCTAAAACCATTTCTCCAACATGGCTAAAGGAAAACCTTACTGTTGCCAATGTATTAAAACAAATAACATTTCCATTGGTCTTTCATTAGCCTAAACATTTTGCTTTCTTAATCTCTTGCCATCTCTTAAATTGATATATTGCACTGACGTTATTTTCTATGTTTGTAACTGGGCATTGTAATGCAGGGTTTATAATTAAAATTGCATGGGATAAGAATAATCAGCAAAAATTTAGTGTACTATTGGTAATAATTATTTAACTCCTTAAGGACACAACTTCAGAAATAAAGGGGAATCACGACGGAATATTTCCGTCATGTGTCCTTAAGGGGTTAAACCAAAGAGATATATATGGAATAGTATAATAAAGGATATATAACAATTACATTTCTACTAGAAGCATTGCCCTTATTATGGCTGTGGTTAAATGAGCACTTCAAGCATTATAACCACTATAGCTTGCTGGGGAGGACTTGGTACAAGGGTTTTCCTTTTCAAAAATGTAATATAATTTCAGCAGAACTACCAAAACACCATGAGGGCAGTGTAATCCTCCTATACTTCCATCCCAAATGCAGTGATTTGGAGGGTGAATATAATCATATAGGGGTGTAATTAGTCCTTACCCCTCTGGCTAATTAATGGAGTAAAGTATGGGTAATGGAAATATATGAGGCAAGTGGGTTCCAAAGATGGCCACCGTACAAAAAAGCACACTTCTATATGATGTTCAGGGAAACTTAAGTCTTGTGGAATTGTGAAACACAAAAGTAAATGTATGGTGGTTATTTGTGTGAAAACTTTAAAAATAATACAATTTAATAGATGCAGCAGCAACCTTATGTAGTGCAAAGACCCAATAACACACCCTCTATTTCAATAAATGTAAAATTAAGGCATGCTGTGCCTTTAAAAACACTATAACTATATCACTATAGTAAATGTTTATTTAGAGGCATAGCACACCTAATTTTGCATGTGTTAAGTACTGAGTACTCTATTCTAACAATTCTAGTTTAATACCCTGTGGAATGCTCGTTTTCAAGTGCAACTATTTATATTTAGCTAAGTTCAATCAATAAAAGTACAACCATGTGTTTTTATTTGGTTTTACTTTGTTTTAATACAAATTATGTTAATTAGTTCAGGTCATGTGACACATGATGTCATACAACCGTTACATTTGAATTTCTTACACCTATTTAAAGCAACATATGTTCTCTCCTCTGTACTTTAGATAAAGCCAAATTATTTTGTGAAATGCGTTAAGTGTATATCACTATTGTTTTATACAGCTATTTTATTAATTTTTTTTATATTTTATTATATTTTATCAATAAAAGTACTTTTGTATTGGACCTGTTTGCTGATTTGGACCTCAGAACACTAATATCCTTGATGTGGATGATACCACCTATGCCTGTTGGGTAGAGCAATCCTTATATGCTCTACTAAACGTGAGTAGTTAATTTTATCCTGCACTCAATACGGTGTACACTATTTTAGTTCTTTTTTAAAAATTTTCCATACCGCCAGAGAGATGCCGTCATCATCGATATCCAAGAGTGAGGATTATACCACTTCACGCCAAATCTGCAGAGCCGCTCTTCAGCACTGAATATCTCTTCATTTTCTACAATTCTGGCTTAATGCAGCAGTTTTCATCTTTGGATCATGTTCATGTTAAATCACATTTTTTTCTCTTTATGCTTCCCTAGCCACACTACCACACAGCCAACATGAAAAAATGGGTTACATTTTAATCAGATCTTTCTGCACAGTTTGTTTATTTTTGTAGTTCTTATCGTGTGCTTCCTTAATTGAACATTAATCACACACAGGAGCCACCTGCGGACTCTAGTGGCATATAAACAGAGCAGGAGATAAGAAATTCTACACTAAACACACTTAGCAATAACAGAATACAGAAAGAAATACGAATATCTTTCAGGAAATATGTAGAATCTCTGTCTCAACCGAGAGAGTCTCAGCCAGGGGAGATGTGAATAGAGCTGTATCAACAAAGTGGTTTAATGCCTAAATGGCAGATAATTGATAAGTCAGACTGCAGGGGTATAATCTATACACCAAAACCACTTAATTAAAGCTATGTTGTTTTGGTGTTTAGAGTGTACCTCTAATCCTTGTGAATTATATTATTGTGCATAGATGAGTTGATGGATGGATGATTTGATGGATGAATTGATTTATGGATAGATTGATGGATGTTTGTTTTTGTTTGATTGTGAAACTAGTATTATATAATTAAAGCTATAGACTCATGGAATAATCTTCCTTCCAATCGTTCTTTCCTATAGCTGTTATGGATTTTAGTGTAATACCAACATTTGGGAAGCACCATCTTGTGACTAAAAGCAGTGATTCACTGATATGTTTATTGACTTTTCTTGGAAGCCAGAGTTGTTTGTTTGTGTTTTTTTTCATGTATAGTACATTGCTTTAATATTGTTTTTATTATTATTATTTTTTATCTTGTTTATTGCCTTCCAGTGGAGGCATTTACTCTTTAAATTTAAATTAGCTCATGGAAAAAGACAGACGTCCATATAACTGCGTATAATTACCAATATGGATACCACACTCTCCTGGATCCCAGGGTGCAACGGGGCCTGAGGTTGGCCAATCATCACAATGTGATTTTGCAAACAAGTAATGATGGTCTAGGCACTCAAGTTCAATCCAGTGAGTTATTGGAGCAAAATAGAAACGTTTCGGCCCACAACAGGGCTTTTGTTAAGCTTGACAAAGGCCCTGTTGTGGGCCAAAACATGGTTTCTATTTTGCTCCAATAACTCTGCCCACTGGATTGAACTTGAGTGCCTGGACCATCATTACTTTTTTGCAAATGACATAATTGTGTATGACTGTGCAG